TATATATATATTTAAAAAGTAGGCAGAAAACTCAACTCGGCACATCAGGTAGTGGTGACGATCAAGGAGTAGAGTACACCAGCTATTTGCAGAGAGGAATATGGTATCGTTCGATTGTTTGTCGTGGCCTTTCCTTAAAAACAACCGAACGTACAGTAGTTGTGCACGCACCAGATGCGCACACACTAAGACACAAAAAGCACAAACACTCATACAAAAATGTATATACACGGCACACAACCACTGAAAGACATACAACTACGGTCTAAAAAATCCCAAAACACACCCACAACTGAGATACAGGCACATGAACATCGATACATACGTGAACATACAAGCCAGTTCATATATCCACATATCCACAAAATCACACAATCATAATCGAATATATAATGTACGGTATTGTTGCAACTAAATAATCACTACTTCGATTCCTTTTTGTGATGAGCAAAATGCGCTTGGGACGAACGAAGATTATCATAGTATAGCTTAGATCTTCAGACTTCATCCAGAGCACGGAGGTCGAAAAACATAACGTACATACTTCACTCCTGTAGTGAAAGAGTGAGAACTAAATAGTTAAGACCTACCCTTCCCTTCAGAGGGCAACAGCCGACCGACCCTTCCCGCACGATGCACGTAGCTGACCACATTCGTCGGTAGGTCCATGTTGATGACCATGGACAGCACAGGCAGGTCTAAGCCCCTGGCAGCCATCTCGGTGCTCACCAGGATGTGTGTTCCTTGGAGGTGACGAGAATGCTACGAGAGATGACCATCCGGGGCGTTAGTTTTGGTTTGAAAGTGCAAATTGTGGGCATGCGACTCGGGGGGAATGAAAAGAAGAATACAGACAGTGTGTAGTGCTAGAGGAAGTTTACCTATGTCACAGCAGGATAGCCGGAAGGAAGAATATCAACATTGTGTATAGTGCTAGAGGTACCCGTGTCACAGAGGGATAGCCATGACGAATATAGGCAACATACAAGCTGTGACCATTTGATATACGATCCGTTGTCGTTTTAAGAATTTTCCGGACAACCCCAAAACAGTACGTGAATGCTTGGTGTGACAAGTGATACTACACGGGATACAAACAGTGAGTATGTGGCATCCTTAACTAAATACGTGAGAGGCAAGGGAGTTTACAGCCAAGCGACCGTAGTGTAAATGTTATTTTGTCCGAGCTCCAACGATATTGTAGCTCGCAATGTCAATGCAAACCACCACATTTGATCCTTATGTGGCATGCTCAATATGCAATACTATACCGACCCCCATCGAGTCTGAGAACTCGGAGAAAAAAAAGTCGTTACCCAGCACCCAAGACACACCTTCAACGCTTTAAGTCCTCGTGCTCGCTCAGCAATGGTAACGTTTGTGGCCAGCGTTGAGACAGCAAAGTTGTTGTGTTCCAGTATCGTTCGCATGTCTGACCGAGTGTGCAGAGTGAGTCAGGACAGTGTTGGAGAGCAAAATTAGGACTCAGAAGACAAGGTGATTATATCTGTAAGCACGTATATAGTTTCATGCTTAGAAATATATACACGTGAATTTTTGCGTGTGTGTGCGTGCGTGTATTTGCGCACAAATTCGCCATAAAAGCCGATACATGCTAACCCCTTACCTTCCGCTGGGAATGCCACTGGCACAATATACTTTAAATATGTATACTTTCAACCGATACAGCATGTATATATATATATATACTTTTTAACTCTCTATTGTCTTCTTATGCTATCACTACAGCAACTTAAATTTAACACTAGAGACACCCAGAGACACACATATGTCGCTTTACTGTATATTAGCTGACAATCCCCTGGTGAGGCGGTAACACCTTTTGGAAACTCTAGTATCTACATAGCCAGCGAAGTACTACAAAACACATCTGACCGCACCTCTGTATACTCATGGTTCTACATGCACATACAAGTATCCACACGCATAACACCATACCGGGTACTTCAGCGTGATTGTTGACGAATACCAGTACAGCCCCCTTTGGTTTAAACGCCGCCAGTATCTTCCTGATGATCGAAGACTTCTGCGAGGCCGTCTTGACAAAGTAGGTGGTCGACTTTCCCTTGAACGGCTTGTTCGGGTTGATGAATAGCACAGCGTGGTGTTGGACATTCGTGGGCAGCACGTTTTTGAACGGCACCTTACCTTCTATCTGAACCTATACACAAACGCGGAGTCACGCAACAAAAAGGGGGGGTGTTAGTCGGTTAGGGCCGAGATACAGTCATTGTGATGGTGTGTATCGTCTTTCAACAAGTTGTTCTTTCAAAGACTTGCGAGGGCTTTTATATAGAACGGCATAGCCGTACTGATTGTTTAGTCGAGGTGTCTTTGTGCGGCCATCCCTTCTCTGTTCGCACCTGGTGAACGTGGCCTGGTACTATCGCAATGCATAAAACCGATTCACGAGTGAGGTACTCGTGTAAAACAGGGCCAGGGAAATGATATAAAGAATCTTAATACTGCACCTGCCTTTATGGCCGCATATATATATATCAAATTCATAGGCAAGTGTAGAACACATGCATATACATACTAAAGCCATGGCTCGTAATCTTCGATCTAAAAATATACCGCCGTGGACACATACATGTACCTGAACCTCACATAGACATGCACGTATGTATAGGTCCATCAGTACATATACACTACGATATACATCCACACATACTTAAACACATACTAAGAACTGTATATACATACACACGAACAGTTGCGCCTGCTAGCATACATTACTACATGAGCATATCCTAGACATGCTTATATGACGACTACTATCCAGAAACCATACCTCCATTAGATTGAGCGGTACAAGTCCAGCTGGTGTTACCACGTTGCCGAGAGAACCGAGCAACGTCTTCGCTTTCTCTAGCAAAACCTTATCGACTGTTGCGGTGACAAAGACGGATCTGACCGGGATCTAATACAATGGAGTTAATGAAAAAATTCGTACACTTAAAAATTCGTTCAACCTGAAGCAGGAGCTGGTACATTTAATCCCTCGCAAGCGACACCAGAGTGAGCGAGAATATACGCAGAGCGTCAAGCTATCGAAGATAAGCAATCGAATATGAGAGGGATGCGAGTGGTTGTCATTTTAAATAGCATATCCAATATATTTATTGGAAAACTAAGGTACAGCATAGAATACAAAGATGCTGTAGCTGCGATAGCACATAGTACATGGCTCCATTTGTGTAGGTGTACACAAATACACGGTGATTTACACATCTCCAAGACTTCCGAGTATACGTAAACCATCCATCTAATCCCTAACTCATATGCAAATGTGATTTCTATGGAACTATAGCAAACTGACATGCATACCGGGTGCGGTGATCTTTCGGTGGCCACATGGCGCTTGGTGCGAGACCTATTCTGTACTTGTAACCTGATGTTAGTGTGAATTATTTGAATTGTTTGTTTTAGTATCATAATCAATTTACTATACGTTATCAATCTATGACAAGATCAGTCGAGTTCAATATAGAATGTCGAGCTCTGAAAATCCTATGTAGTTATGGGCCGCTTGTTCAAGGACAATTTCGGATCTGCATGTCTTAGATGTAGATTTGTAGGCGTATTCTCCATACCGATACCTAATTTTTAATCAATTGAGTGACATGAGTGATTATATATATATATGTGTGTGTGTGTGTGTGTGTGTGTGTGTGTGTGTGTGTGTGTGTGTGTGTGTGTGTGTGTGTGTGTGTGTGTGTGTGTGTGTGTGTGTGTGTGTGTGTGTGTGTGTGTGTGTGTGTGTGTGTGTGTGTGTGTGTG